CCGGCTGTCTGATCAGAAGCGTGCAATTTTTAAGTGTCGGCAACCGAGCGATATTATAGTATGCTCAAGCCCGGAGCATTTGTCCATTTAAAAACCAAATGCGGGCAATTTGTTTTTAATGTGGGTGGACTCCAATTTATTTTTTGATGTGACACTTGGCTCTTGCACTTTCCTTAACAAATTTTGCGCAGGAAACTGGCGCGCAACCGGCCAAAATAAATTCATTGGCGCATGCCCGATATTTGACCGCTGTTTTATTAACCCCCAGGCTCAAACTAAATGCGTGGGTCCTTTTCTCCAAGTGGCATATCGAGTCTAATGAATGGCCAGCGATGTTTCCAGAGTGATTATGAAATTCAAGGATATAATTCAACCAAGAAAATTATTCTTTAACGAATAAGTTGTTTTTGTTTTGTAATATTGTTTTTATACACCATGTTTTTTCTCTCTCGAATTATTTTTGCATGTGGGACCAAATAACCAGCCTAAATGGAGGCATTCTCGACCTCAGAGCTCTTCTCTACTGCGCATGACTGCTGAGTAGAAACAAGCTCTCTTTTGTTCCTGCGTAGCCATACAAATTGAGGCCGCTTTGTTAAAACAATAAAATAAAACCGTTGAACTAGCCAAACGGTTTTTAGGACGTTTTACCATCGGAAAGGGGAGGCTGGGTGCAATTTCGTCCAGTCAGTACTATAATAGTTTAATGCTCACTGGCCAGCAACCAAATACGTCAATCTATGTATAATTTTATGTATAAATTTTACATCTATTCAGCGTTTTCCATGATATTTCTACAGAGAGGTGATTTGATCACAAGGTTATTGATATTTTGTTTCTGTTAACAACACAGAAGTAATAATAGTTATCGCTGAAAATCTAACATGAAGGTTTAGAAAGAAGAATAATGATCGATTAAAAAAACAAGAAAAACAACGGTACCATTATTTTCCTTTGCAAAAAAACTTACCCACTCTCTATCAACTAAACTAACAACTCTGATGAATAAATTAGATAATTAATAATAAAAATTTCACAAAAATTCCATAAGAAATCTTGAGTAATACGAGAGAAGAAAAGATGAACTATTATACAGAAACTTTTTAATTACAGTTGTTTTAAAAACAATCGACGCTAGAATGACGATATTTTGAAAAGCTTCATGGTAAAATTTTCTTTTGTAAATCTTGATACTATTTCGATACATTCAAACCTCAACTTAGACGCCCGTCTTTGAAGTACTTCTAATTTTACATTTCAGGACGACATTATGGTAGCTACGTTCCATACGTTTTTCGATAGATACTTTTCAAACAAATAAAATAAGTTTGTACAAGTCGTCACACTCCGTTAAACTTGACTCTGATTGATCTAGCCACTTGATTGCTACATGCGATCTGAGTTAAACCTGCAATAACAGACATTACGGTTTTATTAACGAAATAAGTCCTTCTAAACGCTTATTTCTTGTTCCTCAACTTCAGCCATTTCCTCATCCCTTAGCGAGCCCGCGGTAATACGTCTGATCAGCGGAAGTGACGCAGCCCCATGCAGGATATTTGAAACGGCTGCCAGCCCGAGCATTGTAAGAGGTACGCTAATATACCTCGCGAGTGGTACCAGATCTCCAAAACCCACCGTCATGAAGGTGATCGTGTAGAAGTAAAGACTATCTCCATAACTCCAGTCTTCGGCCAACATCTGAACAGCAGCTCCCACAAGAAGCAGCAACAACCAGAACAAGATGGCGAGCAGGAAACACTTATGGTGCAAGTGGTGGGGTGGTCGGTTTCTTCTCAAAAAACGTCCCTCGATAGCGTTGATGAGTCTCCTCTCGCTGTGAAGCATTTCCAAGCCAATAAGTCGCAAGAGTAGAATTGTCAAAGGGATGCCAAAAATGGCGTACAATATGCACAGACCTTTGCCGAGACCTGTCTTGGGTGTCACATCACCATAGCCTATTCGAGATAAAAAAGGAAAAGTAGGGACCATTAATCATTCCCTCTGGGGGAGGGTGGACGAATTTTGTGGATCACATGGTTTTCAGGGGGAACGGAGCGGGGATCACATCAGTCGTCATCAACAGAAAAGAAAGGAGAAATTGACCGCCAATTAACTGCCCGGGGAGGATCCCAAGAATATTATAGAATCTCATGGCGGGATCAGGTACATGATTTTATCGTGTCCCCTCCCTCCCCTCCCTCTAGGAGATGAATTAGAACCGTTTCCAAAATAAGCTTGTGTTCATGAGGAACATGTAGAGGCAGGCAGGTGAGATTTAGAATGGAAAGACATCTGAGCCGATTAAACGGCAAAGAATGTTTTAAGATGCGGTACATTTATTCCTGACTACCCCAAGAGTGGGCGCGCGGAGGACTGGAGCAGAGGGAGAAGACTCTCGTCGCTGGTTTCTGCTGTCAACAAACGATAAGCTCTTCCCGACAAGTGTTCTTGTAAAAGACTTGTAGCTGAAAGAAAACTAATTTGATAATTTGTTGAGACCGTCAATGATTATCAAGTGAGCCAATCAGAGCTCTTCCCCGTTGTGCTACGAGATTATGCATGGTAATCACAAGAAAAGCCGAATTAGTCAAAGACAGCTGGCTTCGATATTTAGTGACTAAAACCATGGGCTACCTAAGACGCTGGGAGGAAGTTTTCATATAAAGCACAAAACAGATGCACAGCTTGACTTTTTAAAGGGGCTATCAACTATCAAAAATTCTAAAATTCATATAAAAATTATGAATATGTATGAATTTTATATTCAAACAGTGACGATGAACTGTCGAATCTGGTAGCTTCATCGGTGGTTACATTAGAGTTTTAAGCAGGTGAAAATTATCGCTTTTTCAATTTGCAACATACATTTCGTGAAACTGATAAAACTATCCTCTTGAAACACATTACTAGTCTGAGAAAGAAAATAGAATTCAAGTTTCCATAGTTCTTAGCCTTTGTTCCGTGAGTGAATCAAGCCGTTTATTTTAAGTTTGAATGATAAACCTTCAATTTTTCGCAAAATATTAATTGTGTCTCAAATTTGGTTGATTGTGTTTTGAAAAATGAAATAAATTACAAAGAAAACTTCAAACGAGATTCATCATTGATTTTGGGGTAGTATCAAAGAGTAATTCAGTGAATCTTATTTTGAAACTGATTTACGAGAAAACTTCATCCTTTCAAGAAGCCTTCAATTTGCCGGTAGAATGGTAAATGAATTAGCTTTGTTTTGATTAGGTCGAGCATCCATGAAGTCGTCGAAAACCTTGTTACTGAGCATCGAGGCATCTCACGACAAAAATCTAAGGAAGTTCGACTCGCTATGTCTGGCTCTAACTACTTACCAACAGTTGTCAGTAATACGAACGAAAACCAGACAGAATCACCGTGATTCCATTTCGTCTCCTCTTCCTCGACCTCGTCTTTGCCTTCCAATGCAGTAAACACAAGCATTCCGAGCGCAAGATACCCACACCATAAAATAAAGAGAATCAAAAGTAGTTTCGCTTTTTCCGCGAGTAATGCCATGACGGCAAACTTTAATAATGCTACAGGTTTGTTTTGTTGGTGATCTTGCGATTGTGAAAACCCAATAATTTGCATATACGTCACTTTTGTTGCTTAGGAAACCTTTAAACCTCAGGGCTTAGACGTACTTTGCGTGCTCATAAATAACATTTTACAGCTGTTTTGCAATCATTAGAGAATAAAATTAGACATAACTATAACAGTTTGACAACAGTTTCGATAAAAACATTGTTACATTTACATATTTGAAGTAGGTGTTTCGTGACTCCAGCTGCGAGTGGTGTTCGAATTAACTTTTCTTTTTCATGATGAGAAAAATGGTCGTCTGTCCGCTTTGATTTGACATGTGCCTCGTAAAGTAGTCCATATTGATTAAAAATTGAACGTGCTACTCTCAAAGATATCAATACTAGCTTTTATTTTTGCCGGATACCTATTCTTCAAATAGTTTCGAATAGTTTTCAAAATTGCTCTGCTGGTCGCAAGAGGAAACTCCTATTTAATCTCAGTAGAGTAGATCGATTTTAAATTCAGAGTTGAAAAGAGCCTTGGTTTTGATTTAATTCATGATGTGACCGATCCAGAAAACGCACCACTTTCTCATCCAATCAGATTCAAACCTAAAAACCAATCGCGACTCGGTCACTCGCGTTTTCCCGCACTTCAGCGGTTTGCTTGTTTTTGCTTCGTGATCTCATCGGCTCCTTGCGTTTTTTGTCTCGCTATGATTGGCTGTTATGATAGCTTTACCTTTGGTTTTAGGACATTCAATTGAAAGGCGCTCTATAAGAAAATCCTGATATTACGTAGAGCACAACAACAAAAGCTAATCAAAATTTATTTCATATACTTTTAGGAGTTAAGAAAATGCAGTATATTGCTATTTCTTTGCGAATTTTTCATTTCTACATCAATCCACAGAGAGTAGCAATTTTCTCTAACGTACATGTTTTGCGTTACTATTTGATCTCCAGTGCATATAACGAGCATATATGTTAAAATTTAGTCCCATTTGCTTCTATTAGTAAGCAGACCTTATAGGGGGCAAGAGTGACTACTGGGGGGGGGGGTATCAGAGGGGCTGAAGAACACCTCCTCCTGCCACAGGATCGACTCAGAGGTTACCACTTTGTCCGATGTTTAGTTTGATTTCCTTCACTTACATCCCCAGCGCTTGTACACAACGAAGGAATTTACTTATTTAATTTGCTTTCTCTAATGCACACAAACTAAGTAGTGCGAGACCCAGAGCGAGAAATTCCTGTCCTTCGTTAAATTGAGTGTCTAAGTCAAAACGATCAAGGATTACTTCAAGTTTATTTACTTCGCTCTGATTGGTCTAAAAAAAACTCGCCTCACTTGCGCCACCCTCTCGATCAATCAGCTGGCGAGCTAAACAAACTCGCGCTGGACTTAACTGTTTACGTTTTCCCGCGCTTTTCCCAGTTTGTTCGTTTTTATTTTGAGTGCTTATGGTTACCTTGAAAATAATCTAGGCTGTTGAGATTAACTTTCTTTGGGTCTTACGCGACTACACATCTACACTATTTTCTACATTTTCAGCTGATTGTAATTATCTTAACAAGTATGCTTTTAATGGTTATTCTTGACATAGGAAGCTGTTTGAATCGACACTACGTTTTTCCACAAGTTTACTTTTCATCTTTTCATCTAAACCTCAGTTCCTTTCTCTGTTGATTCCGTTAACTTCGTAGTTTCTTCGCTCTCGTCTGAGCCCGCAGTGACACGTCTGACCAGCGCCCATGCAGCAGCCGCGTGAAGAATATTCGAGATGGCGGTCAGACCGAGGAATATGAACGGTATGGTGACATGTCTTCCTTTTTGAGGATACATATCTCCGAAACCGACGGTCGTGAATGTGATGACGTAGAAGTAGATGGATCCCCCATAACTCCACCCTTCCTCTGTTACCATTGAAGCACCCGCTCCCCCAAGGATCAATATTAACAAGTATAGACAACCAAACACGAAACATTTTTCGTTCAGGTGACACGGAGGCCCATTTCTTTTCAGACAACTTCTCTCAATTGTGGAGATCAGCGCTCTTTCTCCGCGTAGCATCTGCTGGCCAATAAATCGCAGGAGCAAGATGGTTATAGGGATGCCAAATACGGCGTACAACCCACACACGACCTTGCCAATGACCGTGACTGGGTACAAGTCGCCATAACCTGAGTGAAGTAAACACGGCGTTAAAAGGGGTTTTCTTAATAGAGTGTCGCAAGCAATACAGGTTTCACTGAATTTGTATTTACTTCGACCTGTGATTGGTCCAAAACACCTGCGCCATCTTCTCAACCAATCAGAAGCTAGATTAAAACCAACCGTTAACGTGTCACGCTGCTGACATTTTTGCGAATTACTTCGCAGCATTCAGTGGCAGAGCCTCACAATAGAGCAGTGAAGCCGTGACTTTAAGAGTGCATAATAACCGCTGATTATGCAGGTTCACTTGCGTTTTCCCGCGCTTCAGGCAGATTTGCTTTTTAAACTTTGATTTCTGATTAGCTCCTTGTAATAGAATATTTGTTCCGATTGACTGTTGTTATTTCTTTGGTTGTGATTACAAGACACTGTGAAAATGCGCTTCAAAGGGGAAAGGTCCAGTTATTTTAATGCATTCTGTTTGTTTCAAGAGAAAATTAGAAGACCGAGAAAGAGGATCCACTGAAGCAGCAGGTGGATTAATTCACTTCCACAAAATTTACTCCAAGACATGATCTCGCAAACGATAGGTTTGTTCTTCGAGAGTTCTTCGCGAATGTTAACCTCGACATGATCTATGTTCTGAATTAAAGTACGCATTGGTAGATTTTCTCATGACCAAGGCAGAATTTCTCTTTACAATGTCAAAACAAAATCAAGCAGACAAGTGAAGAGAATAAAGAAATATATATATAAATTAGAGGATTATTAGCTAATCCAATACAACGATCTCCAAACTCCCACCACAAGAATTGTATGGCAGACAGTTAGGAGAATTACTATCGAGATCTTGATCGAGATCTTGAGAGTGAAAGGGTTGATTGTTTTAAATCCAGCTGACTGCTGTGTCCATTCTCAGAGTTGATGACACTTTTATAAAAACTTGGACGAACTTAAAAAGGAAATGGGTTTACGTTCCCATAAATAGTGCCAGTTATTTCGATATTTTTTTTCCCAAACAGTGATAGTCCTGAAATAAATTTTTATGTTGCTTCAACTAATCTTAAGCCCTAATTTTCACCTTTATTGTTGCAAGATATGCAAATATTCAATGGTTACTTCGGTCTGTTTATGAAAATGAAAGAAAACTACTTGAAAGGAAATGAAAACAGTCAGAACTTTGAAATTGCGACTGAATGACTACGTGTTTCTTCCATGTAAAGTTTTTGAAAGCATGTTTCGTGATGCTTTGCAAAGAAAACATAAAGTTATCAACAGCTTGATCTGATACCTTTTCAATCATAATGCATGGAGCAATCTTTCTTTATTATTGTTATGCCGTGAAAGATTCATGTCTAATTAAATAAAAACAAACCCAGCCGACGCCTTAGTTCCCTTGTTATTTCTGAGTCGTGAGGACTCACTCGCGCCGGGTTGACTCATGATTTTTGCATTAATTACATTAATTTTTTTTTTTCCTTACCAATAGTCGTGAGGAGAACGACCACGAACCAAAATGAGTCTATGTAATTCCATCGGCGTTCATCGTGATAATCCTTGTGCGAGTTCGCCACCTCACGAATTTTCTTCGCGAGGGTCTCAAACTCAGCTTCGGTCATGTTGTGTTTCTCCATCGTTTCAGCTTTCAAGCCAGTCATGTTCTGTCGTTCTCTTCGCTCCTGAGAATTATGCACCACATTTCCTTCTGTTGCAGCAAAGACAAAGATTCCAAGGACAACATAGGCGCACCACAGGAAAAACAAAATTAAAAAGATTGCACCTTTTCCAAGCGCTGCCATTTCTTATAGTCTAGTCGTGAAGTGCAGTTTTGAAAGGTTTTGTGCTACAGCTGTTTTCGTTATCACTTAAAAGAAAATATTCCAGCCCACGTCACTTTGTTGCGATAGGCTAGGGAGATGTTAATGAATGCGAATAATTTTATAACCGTTTTAATCGAAACACAATGATATTACATAAAGAAAAAAGCTGGTAGCTGTCAAATTTAAAAGGCAGTGGAAAAATAAAAAACAACACGATGTTGTCAATCATGATTTGCAAACGCAAATTTATATAACTTAGAGCACGTAAATCGAATCAGACCTCAGTGATCTGGAACAGTCGAGAAAAAGTTGGAACTCAATCCTTTATGACCTCAAATTTTAGTCATTTATCAATAACTTTGAATGTCACGACAAGGTTTCGTCGTTTTAGAGTTGGAGCTAAAATGTTCTGTTTTTCACCTAGATGTCGCGAGAAATGATCTAAATACAGGAAACTTTTTGCTCATATCTACGTTTTATCGCAGAGCATCGGGCTAGCTTTTAATTAACCATTAGCTTGAATCATGTCTGAGTTCTCCCCTCCAGATTTTTGACAGTCTTAATGAGAGACGCACGGAAAAAGTGCTGTCGTATTTTAGAGTCATCAGACAAGAGAGACTCCTCTGACATTTTCTGTCGAATAAAGATCAAGAAAACCTGGCTTTTCGAAGAAAGAAAGAAGATGAAACAAAAAAGGTTATAAGGTTTAATTTCCAATTTATTCTCAAGGCCAAGCATTTCCCTGAGGTAGTGCGCTGGGATCGGTGCGCAATACATCTTTCGCGGACAAAACAAACAACCACATCCGTTTCATGTTAAATCAAGTTTGATCCCAGCGAGAGGTCTGCAACCCAGACCTCTAGGAAACCTCTCCCCGACTCGTCTCAAATATTCCCGCGGGCGGAGAAACGAGCGTGTTGCAGCGCTGATAATCTGAATGAGAGCCTACTCGCAAGTGAGGCCACTCCCAGAGCAAGCGCGCACTTAACAAAAGCGAAACGCATATTAATTTTAGCTCCAATTTGACTGAACGTTAAGTGTAAACAAGGCGCGTATTGCAAAGTTTTTACCGAAATCTAGAATTCAAGGAATGCTCATGAGAGATCTTTCGTCATTTACTGTGCCCCGATGGGGACGCCCTTAGAGTTTCCCTGCAATATTTGGCTAATGTTCCTGTTCACCTAACCAGCAAATCTTTTGTCTCTACTAACTGTCTTCAGACCGTTTTCGATTTGGGAAGTGACAGCGCCCTCCCATCACCTGTGACTCGCCCTCGCGCTCGCCTCGCGTTGTTCTTGCGTTTACCTTGCGATGTTCTCGCGCTTTCCACTAATAATCTCGCACTCTCTTCGTGTTCTTCTCGCTTTTTCCTGCGTTGGCCTCGCCCTTGCCCATGCTCGCCTAATGAACCATGAAGAGTTGTCACCTGTCCTACAGGCTAGCAAAAAGAATCGTTTGATGAGTATACTGCTGAAATACTTCACTTAACGGTCGTGTTGTGAACATCAATCCGTTTTTTATTCCCTTTGCCACGCGAAAAACATAACCTCTCAAATATTGACTACTAGTCAGTTGGATTTTGAACCTTTTTTAAAGTTGATTTAACATGTCAAAAGGTACTAACATTTCTACTTAAGTATGTACAATCTGTATCACAAATCTATTCAAGACACTGAACTAAGCTTATTCAAAATCTCTTCAGAGTCGTTCTTAAGCTCTTCAGCAATTGCCAACAGTTGTGCTTTCAGAGAGTCATCAAGTGGAATGTTGTCAACAATTTTCCAAGAGCCCTGTCCGAACTTAACTGGAAGAGAAAAGAAGATTTCCTGAGGGAGGTCATACCAGCCTTCAGAGGACACCCCGAGAGAGTAAATCTCTGACGATGTCCCTTGCCACAGATCACGAAGCTGAGTTAACACAGCGAAGCTCCCTGGCAAGGGAGGGGTCCCTTTTGGGCTTTTGGCAGTATTCATGGGCTTTTTTAAGGTTTCTAAAAACTCTCCTGCCAGCCATTTGTCATCATGGACCATTTCTGGTACGTGTCGGGTGAATCCAGGAATATGTGGTCCCCAGATGGCACCATCAAAGCCATGGACCCTGGCATTTCTAGGGTCTGCTGTAGTAAGAACACCAATATTACCCCAAAGAATGACATCTTTTATTCCTGCGGTGTTGACATTCAGTTTTTTGGCCAAGAGCCCTTTAGACCTATTTTCCACGAGACGAGCCAGGGCACAGATATTTTTCTTAGGTATTGAGGGAGCAAATTTACTGGCGACAAAAGCGTTGACACTTGCCGGCCCCCCTCCGATAAGCACCTTCACGTCTTTCTTAGCATATTGGTCAAGGGCCTCTCCATGGGCCTTAAAAATTTTAGCATTAGCGAGAAGTTGCTCCTTTTTATCAACTCCTTCTTCAAGGGGAATGCCATCGAGCAGAACAGCCACGCTGGCATCTTTGAAAGCGATCGCTGGATCCGATGTCTGTACTGCATCTCTGAGCAAAGGCCATGCACAATCTTGGATCTCCATTGCTGTACCTTTAAGAACTTCCTGAGAGTCAGCCTTGTCGAGCAGATAAATACTCAATTCTTGGTCGATCCCAAACACTTCTCCTTGAGCTAAATAACTCAAAACACCATAAGCAAACGCATTAGATGCACCAGACACGCAAATTCGTAACGGATTAATGGCTGCCTTTCTCTGTTCCTCTTCGGCATCAATTTCGATCTTTGTTTGAAGGTTTTCGTCAGCGATATTTAACAGTTCATCACTCATTTTAACCGAAGTGATGCCATAATAACCTCTGGCCATTTCTAAGAAGTCATCGCATCCGCCAAGAAGAATACCTGCTCCACCTCGATCGACAAGCTCCCTCCAAACAAGAGGAGAACTAGAATGTTTCCATCCTTTTTCTTCGCAGGTTTCTTTTAGCCAACCTTCCCAATCCTCTGGCTGCTTGACGATCTTGTGGACTTTAAAATCTGGTAAGTTCAACGAAAGTTCATCGGCAAGAAGCTCTGCTTTAGAATAAAAGGGGCAATTTGCCTTTCCAGCAATAACATACTTCGCCATTTTGTATTCCAACCTGAGCGGTTTATTGTAGTTGTCAAGGCAATGGTTCTCTTGTTAGAATTGCGGGCTCGTATATATTCTTAAGTACATGCGCTCTGCGTGCACGTGGTAAAAATTTGCAACATGGCGAATGAAAACAACGAAGAGAGTAACACGAAAGAAATGGCAACTTTAGCTCTTGATTCGAACAAACAGAAAGAATTCGAGGATAGAGTAAAAAGAATAAGTGCGACGGTAAGAAGGAGATTGTTTTATTTTGCAGTTAAGAGAATGTTGTCGCCTGTTTCTCTAGTTTCTTTCCTTACAACTCTTTGAACTGTTTGCTCGACGAAAAGATTTCATGTGTCCCGTGCGTTTGTTCAGAAATAGATCACAGAAGTACTAAAAAGTGGCAGATGATGGGCAGCCAAGTGTGTCACTGATGTTCTTGTCACATTTTGATGTCTTCCAGCTTCTGTGATGTAGCACATTAGAGACCCACGGCAACACAGATTCTATCAGTTTTTTAAGATGTGCCTCTGTCCTTCCATAGATCATACGAAAGAACCAATCAAACTGTGTGCATAATGTGTTTGTAGAGAAGTTGGAAAATTTTTGGGAAGTTTCTGCAGTCAGTGGTTTTGAATTTGACAGGACTGGAGCCAAATATTTGTGGTTTTTATGAAGCTAAAACTATTCAGTGAACAATTGCTTGCATCCTGGTGAAGCTAACCTACAGCTTTTGTGTTTCATTAGGAAATGGTGATAAATTTCGGAATGTGTATGATCTATCTCAAGCCGTTTCCTTTAAAAAAAACTTAATTAGTGATCATAGCAATAATTCTGAAATATGACGAGGATAGTACATGGTGATGAGAAGATATGAATTTTATGTTCAAGTGGCATGATTAATAGCTCACAAATGAGCCATTATTCATGCCACAAGAACTTAAAATTCACATCTTTGAGCTAACTCATATTTGTTACATGGACAATTAATGTACATGGAAGAGATTGAAAACTTGGCTTTAATGTAGATACTTTGTATCAATAGAAACAAAACACCTGGTGCCCAAATTACAAAAGGTTTACATGTAGGACCATCAGTTACACTGAAATACATGTGAACTGGTTTTAAGAGCTTAATGAAAATTTAATTACTAATTCTTAATTTGAATCATAAGATAATTTTATTTTCACTCCTACTAAAAACCTTTGAAGGCTGTTTAGCACAAGCAGAATAAAAACTTACCTTTGACTTGTTACAACTTTTCAGAAATTCCTTGAAAATCTTAAGATCAAACAGGTTTTCTTTTTGTGTTTTTGTTGTCTTGTTGTTAGGAAAATACATATACATCTTCACTTACCACAAGAAATCTTATGACCATTTAATATTCCAAATAACAACAAACCCCAAGTTCATTCAGTGAAGTGAAAAGGCAGGAATTGAGATGTTGTTTCTCAATATTGCCACTAGATTGTGTTCATATTGATTCTATGAGTGGTCTAGTTCTCACTAAAACACTCACGTCCACATAATAAAAGTATAAATTTCAGCACACATGTAATGAAGTGATAACTGAGGTCCATACTTAAGTTGCAGACCAAGTTTTTTCTGCTTAGAGCAGAAGCATGTGGACAATAACACCTAGCAGAAAAAACAAGGTTCTGTAAAGTATAATATGAACTGAGAAAATGAGGTCAATGATATATTTGTTATATCTTTGGGTTCAAAAAGAAGTGGAAGATTTCAATTCAACCAAACTTTTGAATTTAGTGGGCTGCCCACTGGAATATGGCCTTCTAAATTGACCAATCAAAGTACTTGTACTAACTTAGCATTATGATAATTTATCTTATTTTAGGCTAACAACTTGACACCTGGTGTTATCTACCTCGGTCACATTCCACATGGCTTCTATGAAGGTCAAATACGAAAGTTTTTCTCACAGTTTGGCACGGTGAATAAAGTCAGATTATCAAGAAGTAAGAAGGTAGGAGGCTGAGATTCCTAAGAAGAAACCTGCAAACAGAATTTCTCCAAAATGTTTATTATACTGTTGTTAAGCCTTAGACGCCTTAGAGCCACTAGCTTCTAATTTCTCCTTACAAAGTCACCCCCAAATCACCCAATAAATAAAGGAAATGGTCACCAACTAGAGAACTTTGGATTGTTGAACAAATTCTCATTATCAGCATTGTAGGAAATGTATTGGGAGCAGTATGGAGAACATGCATACTGATATTAGGGTGTAAAGAGTTAAATAGAATGATATTCCAGAGAAAGGTAATCTTGAAAGCAGTTGTTATTGGGGACAGTAACAGATGTTGAAACAAGACAAGGAGAAGTTATTTAGCAAATTTATTAGTTTTTCAATAGATTGCCTTGCTATGTCTGCAGGCAGTTGAAATTCATTGGTGAATTATAAACTATAGGGTGCTTAACCCATGAAAACTCTCTGTAGCTGGTAAGCTTGTCTGCTCTCAGAACCAGTTTGCCAAATAACATATTGGAATTGTAACAGGGATGCTATCAGGTCTGGGAGTTTAAGGGTTAACCCCTAAACCTCTAAGAGTGACTAGCATATAATTTCTCATTATAATATCACATCTAAATCAAACATTAAGCACAAGAGAATAAAGGAAATGGTCACCAACTAAAAAAAGTTCTTGATTGTTGAATACATTCTCCCTGCCTAAGGGTATGTATAGAGAACATTATGGAGAATATGCATACTCATGTTAGGGTGAAAATCAGAGTTACAAATTTTGACAAGCCAATATTTTAGCATTAGCCCATTACTGAAGCACAAAGGACTCAAAGATAAGATAAGGTTGTGCTCTAAGAAAAATTGAAGGGAGCCCAGGGCTCTGAAACTGTGAAATCAAGGGTGCTTGCTTTTTATGGAAAAACTAAATTCCTAAGTCACCCATGAGCAAAAGTTAGGTGCTAGGGGCCACTGGGTGCTGCTAGACCACAGCCATGATAAGATTAAAGAATTTATTTGTTCCCTTGCTTTATTAATTTTGTTTTGTTTTATTTTTTTGTCACTATATAGACTGCAAGGTCAAAAGGATATGCCTTTGTAGAGTTTTCCTGTGACGAAGTAGCCAAGATTGCAGCTGAAACTATGGACAACTACATGATGTTTGGGAGATTACTAAAATGTAAGTACCGTAGGATAATATGTCACTAAAAGAGAAACCACATTGATTTGAAGCAAAGATTTATCAAATTTTATCACACAATCAAATAATGGGATTAAGTTTCTAAAGATACTTTAGTGCGATGTAGGTGGGAATTATAAAAAGATGATTTGATTTTTTCAACTGAGTGGATAATGTAAATTGGCCACCATAAGTAGTTGCTACGTTATGAGACAAAGTATCATTATTTGTTATTGGTGAACAGCTCAAAGCTGAAGGCTGTGGTAAAAATATGATCTGCACCACACTGATATGGTGTTTTGTGATGACTGCATTTAATAATTGTTTTATAATTTGATTGTCAAGTTTGTTTACCGTAGTTATTTTCAGGTATCTGTTGATACAACTAAGTATTTCTTGAGTAGCGTACAGTTTGCAGGGAAAAGGTAGTGAGAAGTTATTACACATGAGCTTACTATTATTTGTCAGCAGCAACTGGCAGGTCATGTTACACACATTGGCCCAATGGTCAGTGCACAGGACTCCATGACTAAGAGGTCCAGCAGGGGCTTAGCCAAATTTTTCAAAAGGGATGGGGGTGAGAGAGGGTGTTGCACTGCAACAAACAGAGGGTACTCACCAGTTTTCACCCCCTGAATATTGCATACTTGCTTGAAAAAAAAGGGGGGGTCTAAGCCGGCAGCTGCCAGAGTTCCAACTGCTACTTGATAACATGTCGCTAGTTACTCTGATTAAAATAGTTACCTAAAGGCCCTTAACCCCCTAACTCCCAGAAGTGATTAACAAGTAACTTCTCCCTACAATATCCATGCAGTATCCAGCAAACAAGTAATGAGAATACTCAAATGTGTCAGGTAGAAGTTGTTTTCTTGATCTAACACCAAATTCTCATAACTAATTTACAAGGAAATATGTAGCAGCTAGAGGGGAGAATTAACAATCAGATCTTGGGAGTTAAAGGGTTAATTAACTTTTCACAGTCACATACTATTGCAGAGTCTGATGCCTACTTCAAAACATTTTCAAATCCCTGCAGAGGAGTTCATTGTATCTCAGTTGGTAGATTATTGAACTTTCCAAGAGCAACTGAACAGTATCCAAATCTTAATTGGAGGTTAGATTTTCCTTTTCCTGATACCCAAAACAAAAGATCAACCTTTTTCCTTTGCTTGCTTTTGTGTTTACAGGCAAAGTAGTTTCGAAGGAAAAGGTTCATCCAAGGCTGTGGAAAGGATCAGAGAGGAAGTTTTATTCTATACCACGGCAGCAAGAAGAAATAACAAAGCACAATAAGGTGTGCAGTAGCTTAAGTGAAGAAGCAAACAGGACAATTATTTTCTTCTAGAGAAGCTGCAGTTGTAAATGACTCATGATGAACACATGCATGTATTGAAAATACCTGTTTGCTCCTTGGAATAATGGTTATAAGAAATGATTTTTTTCTGAAGTATTTCAGCTGGCCTGAATCTAAAATCCTTGATTTATGCAGTTATGTGTGTAACTGGCCCACAGCACACTTTTTGTACTGTGTATCAAGCACTTGTGGTAGTGTGTGGGAATTCAAGATCCTTACTAATCAATCAGGTGGTAGTGCTTGATGAGGAACTAATAATGTTTCACCCTAAAATTGTTCATAATATGTATCAAGTACTTGAAGTAGTGTGTAGGAATTGAAGATCCTTACAAATTTTATTAGCTGGTATTTGACAAGGTACTAAAATTTTCATCTCATCAATATACTTATTTTCTCTACCAAATAGGTGATGGTTCTTATGTAAGATGTCTTTTTGATTTGCATTTACAGGAAAAAAGTAAAAAGGAACATGAAAAGCAAGTGGAAAACATTCTCAAAAAAGAAAAAAGGAAGAGAAAGAAGATCAAGGATCTTGGTATTGACTATGACTTTCCTGGATATGTAAGTATGCAAGTTTAATTACTAACTAGAGAAATAATTAATCACATGTCAAAAGTGCTGCTAATGTTAACAAGATGGTATTGATTGATTTCACCTTCCATTGTGGTTGGCATTGAAATTAAACAGTTTATTAGCAATAACGGATTAAAAGGAAAAAACTAACAGTGAAATAATTACATTCAATCCTCAAACTTCCCATTTGTGGCATGGCAAAAATCTAATCAGTGGAGGGGGGGGGGGGGGGGGGTCCAAAAACTGAATTGATACAGTCAAACCTTGATTATTCGGACTTGTTGGGACTAGATGAAATAGTTTGGATAATCAAGTGTCTGGATAATTAAGAATATGAATATTAATGAGGAACAAAAACTGATTAAAATTAAAAAATAACATTTAAGTGTAACAAAACATTTACAAATCAAGGACATAATGATCTTGAATAACCATTTGTGATGCTGTGTAGAGTGTGAAACATCACACAGCAACAAAGCAACTCTAAGCCAATCAGACCTCATTCTAATGTTCTTCGTTAGTTACAACGCATTACAAGGCACTGCTTTTGCTTTTTGAAAGCAAAACAAACCCAACTTTACTTCACTTTTCAACGCTCTAGTTTTAAAGAATATGGCTACGGGTCTTGATCATGACTAATAAATATTCAGGACAAAACTGGGATCAGAGAAAAAGTCCGGATAATTGAGAAATCCGCATAATCAAGGTCCGGATAATCGAGGTTCGACTGTACCAATCAGTTTTGAACAGTTGTAGAAAACTTTTGCTTCCTTGTCAACCAATTAGATACAAAACAAAAGACAGTCCAGACTTCACAGTTTGAACCCAGGAGAAATCATTTGATTGTCTAGGGGGCTGTGAGAGAATTTCTGAATTTCTTGTTTATGGCGCTTTTGCCTGATGTTTCAACAACCTTAGCAGAACTCTAACTTTTATACATGAACCTCAGAACCCTGATTCTGATGATAATTTCAGCACAGGTTTTCAAAATATTTATCTTTGTTCTGGTTGCCTATTGGGGATGTGATTTCGTTGGCTTTGATTTTAAGATACTCATGCAGAGAAGACTGGTAGACAAATACCTTCCCAGCAATAGGAGTTGAACAATCTCACAGCAGTTGCAATGAAGTGCTTTCACAGCTGTGCAATTCTCTCGCCAAACCTGTTACTCATGCCAATATTAAAGACATTGCGACTCGAAGTACTAGGGTAAATAATGTTGTTTTTTTTTGTTTTTGTTTTCCTCAAAGGCTTCAGAAGTAAAGACAAAACTACCAAAACATACGAAATTCAGTGACAAGTAAAGACCAATTGAGAAGTCTGTCTTTTGTTGTGGAACTCCAGCAGAACAGAGATGGCTAGGACTTCATCTTTTACACCCCAATTTCATTATTCGTATTTCCACACTTTTCTCTTTACATTTTCTATGGTGATACAGAGAGAATTTGTTTGACAAACAGGAGCTTTTTAAATTGGTGATCATTTCCTTTATTCTTATAACTGTTACATTTGATTCAAGGAATGTAATATAAGGTAAATGTAGAAGTCAGTCACTTTTCAGGATCAAAGGGATAGTAAATGTGTATTCACGGGAAACTAAGCACTTAATAATTCTTAAAAATGCTGAGGATGTCCCATCCCTGCTGTTAGCAAGGAATTTGGAAAATTTTGATCATCTTCTACCCAAGTTAAAAATGCTGTCGTGCAGTTTCACTTTTATTTCTTTTTTAACGCACGTGGGGTTTTGTTTCTTTTCTTTTTCTTCATTTTTTTTATGTTTGATTAAGTAACCTCGTATCTCATTCCATTGGTAAGGGGTTCAAGCAAATGGAAATTTGGTGTAAATAAATAAATGCTACACTTGCAAGATTTATCTTTGGTGAGTAGCTGGTTTCCTTAAAGTTGAGCTGATTTCTCCGATAGTCTTGAGAAATCTACAAGTTTTCACAACAATTACATGGAATTCGAGAATTCCCTCTTTTTTTTCCAGACAGTTTTTCGTTATCTAGGTTTCCTATACTTGCACTGAATCCAAATACGATACATTTTCAGCTGCCGGCCGCGATTCACTTGAAGTCGGCGGTCAACGTAGTTCTGTTCTTCAACAAGGCCGGCTTCTTGGAACATTTGGGAAAGTTCGTCTGAAATATTGAAAGGAGGAGTTAGAATAACTAATATCAGGTGACAAAAAGTAAAGCGAGGGGTCTGGAAACAAATTAAAATAGAATTAATTAATTTTTGTGTATAAAATTTAAAACTTCTTAGTTTACTTTTACAAAACCATTATTTTCATTTCTGTGACAAAAAGGAAATGTAGACAGAGGATTTTACTCAAGCAAATTTTACCAAACAAAATCATTCTGTAATAACCATAAAGTTATCAGAGTGAAGGGAGTCATATTTTAGCATAAAATATTATTTTTACGGGTGCTGCACTCAGCTAGAATACGGCAAAGTACGGACAGATTTTGTCCTTCCCGATTTTCTGGACGTTGCAAATTGAATTTACACAGTTCCTAGACGTCGAAATTTAATATTCAAACAAGATAGACACTCCTCACACTTCACGCAGGCAACTAGACAAGTGTTCTATGCTCTGCAAATTGTTCGTAGGTTGGCTAAGAAAGTACGAGCAAAATTTCTTTTCGCGTGCAATAGAAACCTTCTTAATCGTTTACAAACATCTTTCATTTTCCGTACAACTGAATGATTCTCATTAATTTTTGTTAGAACTACAAGCTAAGTAGTCTGAACTATTGCGATAATATCGGACGAGGTCAGCTAATTTTAGTTAAGCTTTTTAAAGAAGCAGACAGTCGCACGGACCGAGACAAAGAAATATGTTCGATCTCCCTTTGTAGAATTTAAATTCTTTAGGCACTGTCATTCAAGGTCAATTAGCCAAATGGAATTGACTTCGGCCGTAGTTGTTTAAAATGGATGTAAATCTAAAATTTTTAAAAATGTAGATTGCCTAGGCGGCGTGGCAGAGGTGCAGGGAGGGGGGAGGGACAGCGATGTTGGCTCCTGCTCTCCTCCACTCCCCCCCTCCCCCCAAGTTTCTATGTTCAACATTGCTCGAACAGCCTAAGCATTGCTTGAGCAGCGGAAAGTTTAAAAGATGAGAGCTTATTGCTAACCAAACCAAATTTCCTAAAATGGCGTTGGCATAAGCTGGCAAACCTCTTTGCAATGCTAAAAACTACCTGTTGTAGTCGTGGTTAAATTGTGACAGTGTATAACTAGGCAGTTGTTCAAAACACAACACATTATCTCGCGAAGCGTGATTCTGAAGAGATGATTTGTGGAAAGACCACAAAGTTGGATATCTTGTAGAACCGATTCTTCACTCAGCAAGGCCGGCAAGGTTACAGCCCCTTCCCCCTTTCCGTCCATTTTTCCGCCGCCCCATGAACATATTCAAGTTACGTTTTTTAAACTATATTTCAATTCACCCTTAACAAATTCACACAAGGAAGGAAGGCTGCATATTCGAACTGTTTCAAACATCCAACAAAAATCATTTACGCACGCGAGAAACTGCATGAGTGGACAAAGGAATTGATACAAAAATATCGCTTTTCAATTTTGATTCTTTTTATCTAATTAGACCTGTAAATGTATCAACATTCTCTAAATACTAACGATTGATTACTGAATTAATGGTTTCCGGAATTTAATTTCCCCAGACTTATGCAACATAATTGATTTCTTGTATCATTTTGGATCATGTAAATGATATTGTTCATCTTTCAACTTAAAAAAAATTGCTTTGACTATCACTCAATCTTAAGGCTGAAGTCGAAGTTACTTTGGTCACTGTAAAATGTTAGTCACTCCCGAAAGTGAAAGGGTTTCTTACTACAGTACAAGTTTTTGAAATCTTGCGTCACCTGAATTGAAATGAATTCATCTCAATACGAGGAAATGATCAGCGTAATGACTAGGGTAGCGCATTCAAAAATCAAAGTAAATTCCTGCGAGGTACAAATAACCAAAATTATGTAAAGGGGTAAGTTTCTAAAGAAACTGTGGTGCTGCGTCGGTGGGGAATTGTAACAAGATAATTTGGTTCTATCAACTGAGTTGACGATGTAAATTAGCCACCATAAACAATTTCAAAACTGACGTTTCGTGCGTTAGCCCTTCGTCAAAATTATATACCGAGCGAATTCAAATTAAGCGGAAAACTAAAATCTTCAAAATACTATTCATAGTTTCCCAGTGTTTGGTTACGACGACAATGAGATCAAAGTTGATTTTTCTAGTAAGTGTTGCATTTAGATAACAGACCCTTAAATTTGCGTTTTAAAACTGTTGGCCGTGCTCTTTATTTGTTCTATTTTGTAAATTTGCTTCTCTGTATTGGATCGAGTTCCCTCCAAAATGCGTCTCTGGTTTTGGGGTACACTTTTATACTCTTTCTTCTACTTTCACGGTTTTGAGTTTCTCTGAAAAATTGAGTCCTTGAACGCTGTTGTAAAATTCCGCAAACTACACCTTGTGTATTCCGCCCAGACTGTGTCATCGCATTCGGCTATTGTCAACTGAATTATAACAGGGAAACTCACTAAAAATAATCCAGCTTGTGTCCAAATTTGGTACCTTCTGAGTTTTAGTCTGTTTGTATCGACCACACTAGAGACCAGCCCAGACTGTCATCGCATTCGGCTATTGTCAACTGAATTATAACAGGGAAACTCACTAAAAATAATCCAGCTTGTGTCCAAATTTGGTACCTTCTGAGTTTTAGTCCGTTTGTATCGACCACACTAGAGAACAGTTATTACAGTTATGTCTTCAACTCTCTTCTGATTAGTGCGACATAGCGGCCACCCACAATCTACAATTCTGCAAAGTCTGCTCGACTGTTTTTTGTTGATGGAACTCAGAGTTAGGTTTTAATCCCACTTCAGGAAGTTTCAGTGAACTGCAAATGTTTTTACACGTAGCAAGCACCTTTTAGTCCAAAGAACTGAGAGGTTGGACAAACACACTCTACTTCAAGGTTACACGGAATTCAATCACCCCGTGTAGCATGAAAATTTTGTAATAGTTTTTATATTTTGCGGAAACAAATCTTTGCAGGGCAAGATGACTCACACTTTCGCAGAAAAATAACATATGCGGTTTTCTCAGAGTTCAAACAGCAGAACAATACCAAGGAAGGTAATGCAATACTTCCAACATTTCTCACTCGAGATGTACTGAGAAATAGACAAGAAAGCGGATTTATTTTTGTTTGACTGAGAGAATACACATTTAAAGCGTTTTATGTTGTAGGATTTTGATCTTCAAGAATTTATTTTTGCAGATCAAGGAAAATCTTCAAGATCCGAAAATATTAAAACCCGGAAAATATTAATGCCACACAAGTACAATCAATGTTTTTTCGAGTCAATCAAGTTTGAAACACACAGATTAGCACCGCGAAGAAAAATTACCTCAGTGACTTGAGATAAGTGAGGACGGCTGGATATTGAATGAAAAACGTGCCCCGACTCAGGCCTCAATAGAGAAAAGAAAGGAAAGTTAATCGAACAACGAAGATGCACACTGCAAAATGGCAAGCACGCCAAACATACCTCACGCTGTGAAAGGCCGAGTGCGTCCCAAGGTGAAACCACAACAACGCATTTTAAAGCACCTTTGAGCTTTTTTCTCCATTGTAACAATGTACTGTTGCCATACTTGTTTCCAGGCAAGGATAATCGCTCAGCATGCACAGCTAGGTTTAGTTTTAACTACTTTTTCTTCCTTGTGAAAACAGTTCGGTGAAGGGATTTAAAGTGTGGGTCAAAGTTTTAAAATCATTGACTTCATTGTTCAACTTCCTGAAACTCTCACATGACTATTAAGTCAATACAACAACAGTTTTCACTTGCAACGCTGGCATGAAAAGTGAATTCTTGTGGCTTTAACTAAATATAAACGAGGTTTGTATTGATAGGCGACGCCGAAGAACCATATACTACAAAAAAAGTTTTGTTTGCAACCAGACAATAAACAATTACTGCCAAGCGACTCGCTAAACATGTGAGCTTCTTATGTTCACAAACATGTAGAATCAATAGACGCGCTCGACTAAACGCGGTGGCTTTTTTCAGTCAGTGTTCCCGCTGTCAAATCACCTGGCATTAAAAAGTGCTCTCGGTATCTGAAGCCAAATCATTTTTGATAAAAAACGCGTTAAGAAACAGAAATGTCGTCATTAACCTAAAATTTGGCTTTGACTGCTTTTTAAATCACGTGAATTTTAAATGTTTTCGGTTTCACAGTTCATAGTCCGCGAACAGGTCACTAAATATATTTTTATTGAATTACAAAAGAAAATAATTCTTCTTGCTGCGAACAAAAGATTACACTGGGGTTCTTAGACAAGAAAGACTTCATTGGTCGAGAGAATGGCGTCACTTTCCCAAAGTGATTGTTTGCCTTCAACGCTAGAGGAAGTCATTTATCTTCAAAAGAAAACATATTTTGTCGCAAGGAAAACTGCAAAAGCACGTCCCGCAATAAGGGAAGAGCTTTTACCTCGCGGTCATTGCTAAATTTGGAGCGATTTCAGTCAATTTCCTCGTTATAAATTACAATTAGACTGTTAAATTAAACGACAATTAAACTCGATGCAGCGAGTCCGATAGACATTTGCAAACTTACTTCCTTCATTTCAAAGTTAATTTTAAAATATTATCAGAGAAACGCCCATCTCAGGCACTCAATTAAGAAAGATCCAGAAGCTCCCATTCAAGGTGGCTGATCTTTTGAACAATTAACGCCTTATTGGGTGAAATAAGAGCTTTTATCGCTACGAAGCAGCCGTGATGGTTGCCTGTCAGGTCAGGCATGGTCATGGGTTTCCGCTGTGTGCTAAAACTGATGATGTCTCTGCTTTTTTGTTTAGCAGATCAAAATTCGAGATGGGTTAATCAGTTTAAGCTTATTACTTTTCACCCACACTTTGCAACCCTGCTGTATTCTTGTTGATCTTGTTTGAATCGAGAAATCTGTATGTTTTTGAAAACATCTCCATTTTTTTAACCTATACAACATAAACCCTAACACGGGACAAAACAAGGGCTCTGATTTTGAAAACTTCACTGTGTTGGCTACACAAACAACTCACACTTATGAAGTATATTGCTCGAGTTTTGGTGGCGTATAATAAACATCTTATTGCTTTAACGAACGATTTCAAAACTTCGGTGACACATTCACGACATAGAAATGGAAAGCCACGAAACTAATCCAAACGATAATTGAATGGAAAACCTCAAACTGGTACGAAAACACTAGAAGAGAAAAACAGCTTTCATCATACAAATTCACCACAAGAACCACTTCATATCTCTGAGTATTTTTCAACCTGATGAAATGGGCTTTCAGCCAAGAAATTCTATTCTCTTCACAAAAATAAAACACTTTCCAAAACGGACATAACCTCTATAAAAAGAGTGGGGAGGTCCAATTCAGGAATTCGAGATCAAATTACCCGAAGGCTGACAACATTTTTTCCCCATTATAAACTCGACAGGTTCTTATCTAAGTGGAGTTCACAATATTTAGGAGATTGCAAACCAAATTCCGTTCATTGTTCCAGGAAAATCAACAACGAAAAAAATCAGCGTTCATATTGCTTTCATTTTCTGCGTAATCCCGAGCCGAACCAGGATTAACAAAGATGATTAATTTTCAATCGACGCCCTGTAATAGTTAAGATTTTAAATCCAACTTAGCGCTATGATTGTATTTTCTGATAAGATTTGAGCTGGAATGCTCTTACACAGACACTTTCATCTTAACAATTCAAAAATTCCTCAGACAGGTCGTTCGCTGGTGGGAAAACATCCAAAAACATGCCTCGCTTTTAACCTTGGCATTATGATTTGGTGAGGTTTTTAAATTGTCTTTATCCAAAATAATGACCTGAAATGTAATATTCATCATAAGATCAGTAATCTTGGCCTCAATGTTATTTATTTTTTTGATATGAAACTTTTTTAAAGCGACATGATATTATTGAAAGGCTCGCCTACTCGCGTCACCTGCCAGGCTGACAGTTTAATTCGCGGAGCCGAATTTGTCCCTTGCAAAGAAAACCATTTCGACGAATGAATACATTTGCAACGCTTTCAGCCGAGAAAACAAAACAGAAAGGTTTCGATAACATTCGTCTCAGCGCCCATAAAGATTAAACAGATACCTGGTTAACTTGACAAATGACTGTTATTTCGGCTGAGATGCAAATTTTGGTGCCATGAATCGATACTGTTTGCCAATTTCTGATTTTAGCTGCGACGAATATTGAACTGTTATTGTTCGCGTTTGTTAATTATCCCCCTGTATTGACTTTCATATCATAACAATGGCCGAACAATGGCAATAAAATGCCGTCACCTGTTGTTTTTTTGCTCTTCAGTTCAAACATCGACTGACTAACACTGAAGCCAGACTCTTTCTAACGACATCGGAATTTCCTTTGGCTTGTACTTCTTGAAATCGAAAGAATGGGTGTTGGCAACTTATGCTTCGAGTTAATGACGCTCTTGTCAACTCCCTGTGTCGAGGGGTGGGAATTTAATGGGGTTTACCCTGCTCTACAAATAGGGAACGGATTTTTTTAATTTTGACCCAAAGCCAGCCCCCTAGTGCGGAACGGTTCAAAGTGTGTTACACCTGACGGGTGACGTCACAGATGAACAGCCAATAAAAGCGAGTGAAACGCTTTGAGCTGAATCGCTCTCTAAACTCCCAACAGTATACACGGACTACAGAACAAGTTCTGTTGTCGCAAAAACAACATCAACATCATCGTACACCTCTGCCTGACTAGGCTTTCGAAAAAATGCCGAAAGCTTTCTTAGTGAAGAAGAAGACAGAGAAGATCAGAAAGCTGCCTTCGAACGCAATTATTTCCAGCCCGAGAGAAGGTGAGTGAAATATTCCAATCCTATTGTATTATCTTTGATGCACTTGTTGTCAATTATATCGGACAGGTAGCAGTGCGCGCAAGAATTCTTCCTGAGCGGGCTTCGTTCGCTCGCTCGCTACTTTCCCAATTTGCGTGTACTTTGCTGCATTGTATCGCCGCCCGCTCAGTGCGGCTGCCTATTTGCTGAATTTTTGAGCGCTGGTTTCTAACAGCAGGTAGAATTTGTAAATCAGATATCTGATTTCTTATTCTACCATGTGTTTTTTCATCCACGCATGCAACAGGTTATAATCAAGATTTACAACATGCTACTACACCGCCGCTTATCAACACAATGCTTCACATGCCGGTCGAAATGAGCTGGGAAAAGAGACTTTTCACCTATCCCGCCGAAGTTTCGAGCCTCAGCGTACTGAGAGAAATTCCAAAGAGTGTTTCCGTGGAGTCTAACGAAAAACAACCAGGCATAAGGAGCGTTGATGAAAATGGCAATGAGATTGCCCCGGGGCAAACAGCGCGAAATCACTACCAGTGTCAGGAGTGCTGCAAAAATTATTCATCGCTGACATCGCTTCTGAGACACCAACAATATCATTGTCATCCGCACCAGAAGCGACCGTTCCATTGCAAATACTGCGACAAACTTTACGTGTCGCTTGGAGCGCTTAAAATGCACATTCGGACACATACACTGCCTTGTAAGTGTCAAATCTGCGGGAAGGCATTCAGCCGGCCGTGGTTACTTCAAGGACATATACGAACACATACAGGTGAAAAGCCCTATAAATGCCCGAATTGCCAGCGCGCTTTCGCAGACAGATCGAATCTTCGTGCGCATCTACAGACACACTCGGACGTGAAAAAGTACAGCTGTGGTCTTTGCTCCAAATCTTTTTCAAGAATGTCACTACTGCTTAAACATGAAGACAACGGCTGCCCTGGCAATAACACTTAACACGAAAACCTGATTAACTGTATTCCAGAACTTTCGATTCGCTAGCAAAGCTCACCAAATCGCGCCATGATAAGGTTAAATGGCTTATCGGTGCTCAAAACAAAAAAATCACAGTTGTGACTAAAATGTTGGAAATGTTTTCCTGAAAGATGTTTTTGTTCAAACGAAAGATGACAATGGAATCGACCCGTAGAGAAGCCGGTCTTAAAAAAAAAATTTTTTAATAGGCTCTGGTGTAGAGAATAGTCCGATTAAAGTAATAAGGTCGCCGGAATTTTACAGAGAATAAGATTGACTTTTCCATAACAATTGACAAACAATCCAGTCTTTGCAAATGCATTTAAGAGCATTTAAACTCTAGGAAATTGCAACAAGGAACTCGTCACTAAAAACTAACTTCTATCAAGAAAGGAAATCGCAGAGATGTTTTCCATTTCAGTAAATTGTACACCCAAAAATCGGTAGAATGTAGGTGCAGAGAGATCGTTTATAAATAAAGACTTCATTTCAAGCGAGTCTGTACGTAATCTTCTGTCGCCATTGCACACAAAGAAACCGCATTAATCAGTGAAGATATTTGACTATGCTTAACACCTGTTGAATCAAAGTTATCTTTGAATCAAGAAAGCTCGTTCGCAAACACCTGGAATAAAATTTCACGAAAATGCTCTTCCGTCTGTCATTACGAGCTTTTATCGCTTCCACCCAAGAACGCATTATAAGGATATTACAAATCTACAATTTGTTCAAAGCCGAAAATGCGAGTTTCAAAATCTCGTAACTGCCCCCCGGGAGGGACAATATAAATAAAAGTCGAGACTGCATGTTTAGCTAATCTAATCAGAGCATAGAATACCATTAGTGATTTTTTAATTCCGTATAAATTTCTCAACGATAAGAAAACTGCTTGGGCTGAATGGCGTTAACTTAACTAGGCAGGATGCGAGGGAAAGTCTGCTAAAATCTGAAAGAAAACTAGCTAAGTTTTTGACCTACCGAAGCGGATGAGATGCGAAACGAGCTGTTTTGATAGTGGCACACAAAGACAGTTCTGCCTCCTCAAAAGGTCTTTGATAAAGGCCAAATCTTCGTTACCATATAACAGGTAATTTTGACAATATGGCATTTTAAGTCTACCACGCAGCCAATCAGAGGCGTCTGCCAACCTGTCGCTACAGAGAAGTGTTTAATAACTCTCTAGCCACGGGCAAGTTTATTTGTCTTCGCATGAAAACCACCGTCAAAATCAATCAATCTGCTGTAATTGGTTTCCCCGCTAACTCGGCTCCACACGACGGTCAAATTGTGACGTGAATTTCTTTCAATAGCCCCTCAAAGCAACGTAAATGTGGTTCGTGCTAAACTACTCACATCCATGGATAGAAAAGCGGAAGACAAACAAAAATAACATGTGAATTAGATTGAACAAACGATCTAATGCATAATCACAAAACAAAAGAAAAGCGCTTTGATTTACTTCGAAAAATCTGCCAATTACGCCCTAAATGTATTTAACATTTAACATTGTGCAATATCTGCTTATTAAAGAGCATTCTTTACACGGGATGACGGATGGAAATAGCATCACGTATGTTTGACAAAATATCCTGATTCCTGTCGACAGCAGGTGATGCAAGATTGACCCGACCGGCCTGGGAATAAATTAAGAACTGGTTTTAGACACCTGTTGAAATCTGCGCTTTTAAAGCTTGCCAAAACACCTTGCTGATAAATATGTGTCCGGCTAACTGAACACTTAAACTACTATTGTTCGTTATAAAGCCATATTTGTTCATTTAGAATAAAGTTTGCTTTGAAATGCTAACACTGTCCGATTAGATCGTAAACAGGAACTCTAACATTCTAGGAAATCAGGAGTTGGAAAAAAAACGCACGGAAGTTGGCACAGCCCGCAAAATACAAACGGAATTCGGATCATCGAGCGATCGTATCGATAGACTTATAACACCATCATTGAGAATGTACTTTAGAAGTACAACTTTTTTCCACAAAAAATGATTTTTTTCATGACGCTGTAAACAAGAAAGGGAACGCTAGCGTTATCTTGTCTTAAATAGCAGTGAAAATTAATTTCATAAGGACAAAATATTGCTTGAGCGAGCACAACGATTGCAGACACTACATATGGTTTTAGTAACAAAGAGATTTAATCAACCGCGAGAAAAAAAAACATTCAGCGAAGCACGAATTGTACTCTTTATAATCTTTCTAATCTCATAAGATAAATATTTCAAACTTTGCCTTCATTAATGGGCTTGCAAGTCACTCAAGAAAGACATTCACTGAGTGAGCAGTATTAAATTCTCGTGGGCGAATTGCACTCTATAATCTTTCTGATCTCACAAGATAAATATTTCAAACTTTGCTTTCATTAATAGGCTTGCAGGTCACTCAAGAAAGATATTCACTGAGTGAGCAGTCTTAAATTCTCGTGGGCGGCCTTGTTTACCACATCTCCCATGTTGTATAATGCTGCGACCACTTGAAAGGGTTGATAGATTTTGTGGTTGTCAAACTCATTCAAGTGTTTTACTGGCGAAGAATATTTACTAGTTATAATGCTTTATAAACTTTAGGACAGTTTGTTTCAAATGAGTCCGCCCTGTTTCCCTTGACAATAACCCAGAATTCGCATGGCACAGACAAACAGAGATAAACAGATGAAAGCTGATGTTTGGCCCTATTAATTTTATCTTGAGGTAAATGATTTTATATAGAGATTCTAATTCAAGCAACCTTGGCGAAAGGCCATTAATTTTTTTGAAAAATAAATAGTGTATCTTATACATTCAATCAATCATATAATTAGGAATAAAATGCAAAGCAAGATTTCACTCGTTTAGAGAAATTTTTTTGAGTTGAGTCATTCAAACTTTGCAATTTGTTCAGTTCACATTACAAACAAAAAAGCATCAACTTAAACCTGCGAAAAAGATGTGCTATACAAGAAACCGAAAATTTACTAGGTTCCCTTCATATTCAAACAAACAATTCCTGAAAATAAACCTAAAAAAAAAATTAATGCAATTTTCGTGGTCGAGGGCAGAAGAGCGGATGGGCTGAAAATGAACCACGCCCACAGTTGTTTTTGCACCTAACACAAGAGGAGTATTATCAGCTGGTCACGTACGATAGGAGTGACTCAACAAATGTCGAATCATCTTGATATCAAATACTTCAGTTTGTTTTCGAACATAATGCTAGATTTCCGCTTCTTAATCATTAAATTACCTGCTGGCGAGCAGGTTTGAGTATTGATTTCTTAGCACGTAGGCCATCAGCTCGAACAGGTAAACAAGTTTTATTGAGACGTGCTTTCTTCAACATGTGAACAATGTTCTGTTCTTTTCACCCACAAACATCCTATTCGTTTGGTGGCTTGTTGTTTTTCAGTCAAAAGGTATTCTTGTTTTGAACTCAAATGGTTACACTAACAGGAAACTTGTTTGTTTTTTTTCAAACCCGGCACGTTTGTTCGAAATAGCAAAAAAGCCATTTATCACAATTAAGCGTTCGTACAGTACAAAGAAGTAATCAGCACGTTTTCGATTTTTAAACTAAATTGCTTCAGTAAATCCTGTCATGAAAACACAACACGAAATTCAAATTACCTTGAAAAAATACATGCATTTGTAGTTTTCATAGTCACACATTGCATGTAATTTCTGCGGCTTTAAGGGTCGATCAAAATTCTCTCATACCCACACAGGGCAAAAAAATTTGTTCCCACGATATGGCAAGGTGTTCAAGTGGCTTCTTTAGAGAGGGTTAGCAATTTCAAAAGACCACAGAAATACCCTAAAACCCACAATGTTACTTCACCAGTATGAATCGTAAAACGGAAAAGTGTACTTCGCCATAAAAGGTCAGATGTGAAGATCTTACAGATTCCCGTGGCGTCTGCCATCAGCGCAATCGTGGAGGTATTTTGGTCGGGTTACGGGAAGGTCGGCGTAAGCTTATGAGAAGCTTAGAAATTAATCCGGCATGAAAACCTCAAAACGGCTTCATCACCCTTGTTTTGAGCATAAGAAATGGCATGTTTCTTATTAATTCAACTCTTAAAGTAATTCTGAGCATTTCCCACGGTGTAAAGCGACATTGAGCGGAGAAACTTTGCAAGAATAATTTGCCAATCAAACGAACACACGTCAAAGGATTTTAAGCCGGTATAATTTTGCGCATAATGCTATTATCAGAGCATTGAGCATAATTCCGGCATGATGGCTAAACTTCGTAAAAAATTCCCTTGATGCTGCAGTTCAACAAGAGATAAATTCTGTAGCCTGAGTACTGTCAACAGCGAGCCTGCTTTTCTCGTTTGCGCTTCGGTAAGCATTTTATTCTAAACAAGTTTCCCTAGTATGCTAATGAAACAAGTGGCAGACACCAGTAGAAATTTGTAAGGGTTTACCAGCGCTTCTCACCTTCGCACCGATTCTCATTAAACTCCTTTGTGGACTCAAGTACGTCGATTATGAGGCTCACAACACGCAAGACTGCCGGGCGAATATCTCTCGTAAAACCTCAAGTGTGTGCGTCTGTAAATGCGCACGTTTTAACTAATTTACTTATTAACATTTCTATTTTTAACGCTGTTAATTATAAACGTCAGCGTCACGGGAAGAAAGCAAATCTAACGGCAACCACAAATTGAATGAGCTACTACATGGAAATTTCTTACCTTGTGTGAAGAAGTACACCCTTGTACCATCACCGCGAACATAAAAATTATCGGACAAACATTTACCTAGGGAAACAAAAAAATCAAAAGAAAACGTACTCATAACTTGGTAGGGAGAACTTGTCCAGACGTGACAGAAAAAATATATTCGATCAAAGTCCATGTTAAGGCGCATTTCTATAAAACAATCCTTCTAAATATATCGAGGTCACTCAGACGTACATTTAGGTCAAAAATAATCCTCTAAAATCGAAAGATTATTTGAGACATCACAAGTCAACCATTTAGTGGATCAAATTGTGCACATCTATTTACATCAAGCTGTACATAAATAAATGATTCCACTCCAACCCCCCCCACAGGAGAAATTTGGCTTATTCTCAGATCTCTTTCTCTTCCTCCATCTCTCTCTCCCTCTTTCCCCTTGTGAAGCATCACAAATGCAGTCTAGTGATCGAGGGCCCGAAAGTCTTCGCACAGAAAATAACGGAGCCGTTCATAGTTCCGTCTCGCAGGAGTGGCTGGATTTTAAAGGACAACGAGCCAAAATGCTTGTCGAGGATCATGAAATCTTAAGTTAAGAATTAATGAAAGGGTAGAGCAAGTATCGTGTCAAAAATTCTTTCCGAAAGAACTCGAACCTCAGACCAGCCGCTATTCATGGAAGAACAGTTTGTCGTCTGAGCTACAGTGACACTGTTGGTTACTTGAGCCACATACAGTTACGTACAAGTCATGCACAGGTCAAAGGTAAAAAGGAGGGAAAGTTGCAAAAGACATGTTCAGAGACTAGAGAGCCTGTTACG